CTTCAGTCTTCTTTTATTTGTCAGCAGGCTAATTCAGAATATTCATGTTAATAGAAGGGTTTTCATAATCTTTATCAACTTCTCTTTTTTCATCATAATATTTACATTTATGAATAGCATACTCTAACAATACTTGACATTTTTTATTCTTTGTCCCTTCATCATTATCCATCAAATTATTTCTTATTCTTTGATACCAATTATTGAAGCTTCTTGAATTTCTGCTATTTCTTACTACTGAGAAGATACATGTTTTTGGGCCAGTGAAATATGTCCACTGTTCTTCTTCTACTGTAGTTGTCCTATTGAGTTTCTAAAAAATTATATGTATTTCTTGTTCTCTGATAGTGGAGATCTTATATTTGAGGTCTTCATCATTCATAATATCTTCTTTTTCTTCTTGCTCACTCTCAAATGGTCTCCTTGTTGTTCCAAACTTAATTAGATTAATTAAAAGATAAAATTTGTCAAGAGTTATTTCAGCTATTGTTGAGTAACACCGAATGAAGACTCAGTATTGAGTTACTATTTCAAAATAATGTTTGGCAGCTTCCTTGATTGACTCTGAAAGTTTTGATATTTCTGACATGTCATTAGAAGGATATATTGAGTGAATAAGGCTATAACTATACAAGATTTTTACAAGATATGGGTTAGTGTTTGGATAAACAATGACTTTGTTGAAAGAATAATGATAAACATATTTAATGTTATTGGCAAGTAAAAGAAGACTGATTTAAGGCAAAATGGTTGGTCTTATTGATGAGAAGTTTGAAATAATTATACTGATTTAAGGTCTTAATGGATGGTGAAGTTACTGGCCTTAAACTTCTCCTAGAAGAGGTACATTTTTTATGGATATATGATGCATTTTATTTAAAAATTGAAAAGATATAAAAAAAAATATAAAACAATAAGCATTTCTTGAAAACATATTTGTGCTAAACAAAAAAAATCAAGTTTAAACAACAACAAAAATATAGACAAAGCATTTTTTCAAGGCATGTTTATTCGGAAGAGGTGCTTATTTAAAAAAAATTCTTTAAAAATCAGCCAAAAATATCTATAAAAATGATGAATTTTATTTTAAAATTGATGATCTTCATAAATGATTATTTTATTTAAAAATTGAGAAAGATATCAATAAAAATCTAAAGCAATATGCATTTTGGAAGACATATTTAAACTAAATAAGAAAATAATGTTTAAAACAAAAATATAAATAGAGAATAGCAAGTGAAAAGATTAAAAAAAATATTCCTATATTTAAAAAAATTAAAATGAATGAAAACAATAAAGAAATAGAATGAGGAAAAAAAGATGAAGAATGTAATGAGTTATATATGGCAATGTGCATGGAGGTTTCAACAAGTCTCACGTCCAAATATTTTTTTTAAAAGAAAATGAAATGACTTTCATATAAAAGTTGAGAAAGATACGAATAAAAATGTAAAGCAATATTTTAAAGACATATTTAAACTAAATAAAAAAATCAAAGTACAGACAAAAGATAGAAACAAGTAATAGAAAGTGCAAAAGATTAAAAGATGTGCTTATATTTAAAAAAACAAACAATGTTTAAAAATGTAAGTAAAAAAATCAACAAAAAGCAGGAGGGAAAAAGATCAAGAATATAATGAATTACATATGTAGTGTGTGCAGAGCGATTTTGTCAAGTCCCGCATCTAAAATTTATATTTTTAAAGAAAATAAAAGATGAGTTTAATTTAAAAATTGAGAAAGATATCAAGAAAAACATATAACATTAAGCAATTTTTGAAAACATGTTTAAGCTAAATAAAAAAAATCAAGTTTAAACAGACAATATAGAAAAATAATAGGAAGTGGAAAAAAAATAAGATGCAATATTTAAAAAAAGCTTTAAAACATAAAAAAATCAACAAAAAGCAGGAGCAAAAAAGAAAAAAAAAACATAATTAGTTATATATGAGGGGTGCGCATGGTGTGCATACATCGAAAATATATTTTTTTAAAAAAATACAAGATGACTACTATTTAAAAATTGAGAAAGATATCAAAAAAAATATAAAGTATTAAGCACTTTCAGAAAATAAAATTAAGCTAAAAAATCAAGTATATATAAGAAGGAAAAAAAAAGATAAATAATACGAAGTGCAAAATTAAAATGATGTGGTTAAATTTAAAAAAGCCTTAAAAGAAACAAAGAGATCAACAAAGAGATCAAGGACAAAAAATAAAGAATGCAATGAGTTATTCCATCCATTAAAAAATGTAAGACATTTTTAACTGAATCTTACCCCCAATAAAATAATTATCTACTTTCACACTAACCCTATCTTCCCATATTTATCCCTATTAAACACCCTATAATAAATATAAAGTCATTATCAATAGACACTTTTGAAAAAAAAATAATGATTATATCTCGAGAGACTAAAAATGCCTCACATTTTTTAACATCCAACTCTTCAAAAAATGTTATATTTTTAAACAAAAAAAGTATATATATATATGTGTGTGTGTGTGTGTGTGTGTGTGTATGTATGTGCATGTTTCCTCAAGTTCAACATAAAAAAATTATTTTTAAAGAAAATACTTTGAATGCTTGATGATACGATACATCTTTTTTGAATATAAAATTAACATTAATATGAACATTTTTCATAAATGATTAATTTTATTCAAAAATTGAGAACGATATATTAAGGCAATAAACATTTTTTTTAAAACATTTAAGCTAAATAAAAAAAATAAAGCTTTAAAACAAAAATATAGATAAAGAATAGGCAGTTTAAAGATTAAAAAGATGCGCTTATTTAAAAAAAAAACTTTAAAATGAATGAATAAATTAAAGGAATATAGTGAAGAAAAATAGAGAAGGAATGCAATAAGTTCTATACGGTATGTGTACAATACATGAAGGTTTCAACAAATCCCACATCGAAAGTATTTGTTTTTAATGAGATGGCTTTTATTTAAAAATTAACAAAGATATCAAGATAAATATGAAGTATTGAGCACTTTTTAAAAATATATTTAAGCTAAATAAAAAAATTCAGGTATAGAAAAAAAAATAGAAATGACTAATAGTATGTGCAAAGATTAAAGAGATGTGCTTGTGGGTTACATAAGCTGTGTGTGCATGCATGTTTCCTCAAGTCCCACACAAAAAATATATTTTTGAAGAATACTTTAATTTCTTGATAACATAATACATTTTTATGAATATATGATTAACATTAACATTTTTTATAAATGATGAATTTTATTTAAAAATTAAGAAAGATATCAATAAAAATATAAAGCAATAAGCATTCTTTGAAGACATTTAAACTAAAGAAAAAATCAAGTTTATAACAAAAATTTAGATAATTTACCACAAAAAAAATATAGACAACGAATAGGCAACTTAAAGAATAAAGAGATGTTCTTATTTTAAAAAAAAATTAAAATGAAGGAAAATAGTTAAGAAACATAATGTGGAAAAATAGGAAAAGAATGCAAAACAAGTCCCACATCAAAAATATTTTTTTAATGAGATGACTTTTATTTAAAAATTGAGAAAGACATCAAGATAAATATAAGGCATTAAACACTTTTTGAAGACACATTTAGGCTAAATAAAAAAGTCAAGTATTGACAAAAAAAAAACAAAAGAAAAGAAATGAGTAACAGTAAGCGCAAAGATTAAAAAGATGTATACTTAAAAAAAATTAAAATATAAGCAAAAAATCAAGAAAAAGAACAAGGAAAAAAGAAAAAGAATGTAATGAGTTTTATGTATATAGTGTGTGTTCTCAAGTCCCACATCAAAAATATATATTTCTAAAAAAAAATACTTTAAATGCTGATAATATCATAATTTTTTAAAGAATATAAGATAACATTTTTCATAAACAATTAATTTTATTTAAAAAATGAGAAAGATATCAATAAAAATGTACAAACATAAGCATTTTTTTTGAAGACATATTTAAGTTAAATAAAAAATCAAGTTTAAACAAAATATATACATAAATAATAGGAAGCGCAAAGATTAAAAGATGTTCTTATATTTAAAAAAAAAAACTTTATAATGAATTTAAAAAATAACAAGAAGCAGGAGGAAAAGGAGAGAAAAGATATAATGAGTTATATATGGTATGTGTGCATGGCAATTTCATCAAGTCATAGATCAAAAAATTATTTTTTAAAAGAAAATAAAAGATGACTTTAATTTAAAAATTGAGAAAGATATAAGCACTTTTTAAAGACATATTTATGCTAAATAGATAAATAAAAAAAATAAAGTTTTAAAACAAAATTTTATATGTTTTTAGATTGACAAAAGAAGTGAACAACAATACAACATGATGGATGGCCAACGGTATCAAAAATATGATAAACTCACTCAACAAACAAAGTAACCATCATTTCGAAACTATATATCATAAAATGTTAGAACAATAGGAGCTCTCGATCATAAGAAATCACAAGTAATGTTGGAATCAAATAAAGACTAACCTAAAGGCCATTACATAAAATCTAACATTGATGTTGACTAGAAAAATGAGTAATGCAAGTTATACCTACATTCACCCTCATACGATCCATCTAGATAAATATATGATAAATTCACTTATAGCAATTAACAACATCAAATATGTGATGAAACTACTTTCTTCATAACAGACGAAACATCCTTTTGGAGCAATCTATGGTATGACGTTAGAACACCAGGAGCTCTGGTACATATACGCATCCCACTAGTATTATTGGAGTTAAATCAACACCTATCTATCACCTCCTAAGTCCTTAGTATATATCTTATATTTGCTAGCACACTTTCCTCAAATCCATTTAATCAAAGCGTCTAATTCTAAACATAAAAGCATTAACAGCGTCTCCACTCAATCATTAACAAGGTGACGCTTGGAAGGTAAAAATGTGCACTTAAACTTCAAAACGAAAGGAGATCAGCAGAAATTTAAGGAATAGTATATCTGCTATGGGTGTTGTGAACAATAAACAAACATTACCTCGATACGAGCAGTGGCATTTTTACCAAACTGGAGAAGCGACGCAACGTTTCGCCCTAATCTGCCTCGCCATCGCCATCTTTTGCTGCCGTTTTGTTGATTTCACCAATTCGTGACCTAATTCCGAAATCAAACCAGAAACATAACTAAAATTTCTAGATTGAGGAAGATAATGTGAGAGAAAACTAATAATAAGCGACAGTATACCTTCAAGCCCTTAAAGAATTGTGGGAAAAAAGAAGCACTTGGAGAAGTTGAAGCCTCGACAGAAAGATAGATAAAGAGCACCGTCAGCTACAGTCATGAGTGAGAGAGCAATAGAAAAACAAAGTTATAATGCCTGAAACCATTTTCTGATTACAGAAAACCCTTCTTCGATGCCGTTTGAGACTCTTCTTTGTGCTTTCCTTTCTTCCCTTAAGCTTGGACTGATCGATTCGACGCCATCTTCACTCCCTACTTTTCCTATCTGCTGCTTTGTGCCACTGCGACCCGCTAAGATGCAACCTTGATTTTTCAATGATCTGATCTTGATATGTAATCTCCTCTCCAATCTTCATCGTGATCCTTCATTTGTCGGAAGAATAACAAGAGTGAAGAAAGAAAGACCAAGAGGCAGAGCAAAGAGACGCAACCAGTGAAGAATTTGAAGAAGTTTGAGCAGAGAGAGAAGAAAAGAAGGCCTTGGGAGTCGGTAGTGAAAATGGAAGTTGCGTATCTCAAGCACTTTGGTCACAAAAATTCAAAAATTAATAAATTATTAATTAATTATCAGTTTTGGAATATCTTTTTTTATGGTACCCTGGGATTTTTTTTTTTAATCATGCCTTGACGTTGGAAGATTGAATTAGTGTGTGTTTGAATTAAAAAAATTTATAATTGAAGTTAGTAAATTAAAATTAAAAAAATTTGTGATTCTAATATAATTTATGTTTAAATAATTTTTTAAAAGTCAGTTGAATAAATTAAATTTTATTTAAATAATTTGATTTAAAAATTAGTTAGGATGTATAGTGATAAAAATAAATATGAATTTTCTTGTTTATATTTTTACAACTAATTTAATATTTTTTCAAAAAAAAAGTTAAACATATAATTACAATTTTTTAAAAAAAGTAGATTAAAAGATAGAGTACAAATATAAAATAAATTAATAAATCATAATTCACATAATATAATTATAATTATTTTTAATTTTATAATTTAGAATATTTAGATTTATAGAAATTGTTACAATTTTATAAATATTTATTAACAATAATTATATTTAAGTCATATGTATTATAATATAAATTATAATATAATATTAATAAGTTATAATAATTATAATATTATAATATATATTTATAATATTGTAATAATTATATATTAATAAATTATACTATAATTTTGTTTATATAATTTGTTTAAAAAAATTATAATATAATATTTTCATTTACCTTCTCGTTTTGGATGTCTTTTTTTCACCCCTATTCACGGCAGCCCTAAATCCCTCCTCCCCACCCTATTCCTTACCTCTTTTTTAATCTTTTTTTCATCTCCACTCATCGCACTCCTCTCTCAATCCTCATTACAATTAACAGTAACTCAATAGGTTTTGATCCGTTTCAAGAACAAATCCAACATGTCCTTACAACAGAATGGAGCCTTATTCATGAACTTGCTATCCTCGTCAGTAGTGTGCACGATTAGCTCGTCGACCTCTATTGGCACCTCCTCGAATGATGACAACAGCAAGGAGAGGCGACAGTTGATGTGCTTGTGAAGATTGAACAAAGACAGAACAAAGAAGATGAATAGGACCTGAACATAGGACGAAGACGGGTGAGCGATCTGGTGAGATGTTAGAGGATATGAGGAGAGAGAATCTAACAATTTTTAACCTTCAATATCCCTTGACCTTTCTAAGAAGCGTTGTGTTGAAAAGCTCCATCAATCAGCTTTTATTGTAACGCACGTTTTGCTTCAGAAGCTAGTTCAATATTTTTTTATCCAAACAAGATATGATATACTATAATGACCTTCTTACTCCTCAACTGAGGTTGGGATCACCCTTAACTTCAGTTGAGGAGTAAACCAAACATATCCTTAATTGTAAGATTTGATTTCATCTAAGACAGGAATTAAAATATTAATTATTAAATATTTTAATTATGTTTATGTATTATTTTTGTTAACATGCTGTGTTTATTTTTTATACTTTTGTTTATATTTTTTTAAAACTTATTTAACATAGTATTGTTACATAAGAAAAATTAATCATTTAGTACTTATAATTTTAATTCAATTATAACTTAATTATTAAATTTTGACTCGTTATAACTCAATTCCTGAAACTTTGACTTAATAGTAAATTAGTTCTTAAACTTTGCCTCTTGCAATTTAATCTTTGAAGTTTTAAAATCTTAAACATTGATCCCTATATTTTAAAAAATAAAATTATAAAGATTAAAAATATTTTAAAATTTATTACTAATATCTTAAATTACTAAACTGCTTTAACCTTATTGGCCTTTATATAAGGGACTTTATATAAACCCTGTAGCATTATTTCTTTTAAGGGACTTAATCCTACTAGCCTACCTAGAGTTTTGGGTAAAATTAATCTTGGGTATGACACTCCATAATATATGATGTAGGGGAAATCGTGTTCATAAATGATTAAGGTAACCCTGACTTTATTGCCCCTCATGATATGATTAAGGCCTTAAGTAGTCTTACTACATGAATGATCTCTTTCGGTTGTTGGCTCATGAATTTCATGTTAGGGGAAATAAGAAGGGGTACAAGGAAAAGATTAATCATGTATTTCATTATTATTATGACATTTGAGTGATTGATGGCTATATTTGAAACTATGATTGTAATTGTAAAAATGAGAACATGTGGCAAATATATGAACAATGTATATGTGGCCACTTATACCAATTTTGTATGAATGTTCAGTTCTTGTGGACAATCATGCTAATTTTGCACTTAACTTTATTCTTGAGATTATTCACATAACTTAGACGTTAATGTGATTAACATGATCTTGATATGATTGTTTACATGGTCATCTTAATGAATTTATTAACCACTTGCATTCATAATTAATTATCATGTATTTGTATAACTTAAATGTACCCTGGTTATTGAATAGTTGTATTTATCCCTCTATTTTAATATATTTTAAGAGTTAGCTCATTTGAAACGAACAAAAAAAAAAAAGAAGCATCAAGCCAAGTGATGATGATCACTTATGTAGGCCTTTCTCCTTTTATTTTAATATGTGTGTTTAGTTTATGATATTGCTAAGTATGACAATATATTATTGATCCACTTGCATTATAGATTTTTTGTTTGGTATAAGTGTATTTTGGGCTCTTAAAAATGTGATTTGGTGCTTATGTTTGTATTAGTGGGCTAAAATACTTATGCAAGTAAAAATAGTTATTATTTGCTTGATTTGAGAACTTGAATATTGTTATGGCCTTCTTTTGTATTTTTTATATCCAAGGATGAGTAGTTAATATTAACTATACATGAATGAAAAGGAAAATTCATGTAGATGATGAGCTATTGATGAATAGATCATGCATAGAGTATGATGACTATGTAATAATTATTATGATAAATGTGATTGAGATCTTGGCTCCCTGTTACTAGTTATGGAAGAATTTGAATGGCCAAGTATTATATTAATAAATATATTTATATATATGTGTGTGTGTACTATGTGGAGTAAGGCACAGGGAGAAAATAAGGAAAAAGTTTTTCTCCCATCTTGAAATGTGTTTTTTAATACTTAATCAATCCTATGTTTTCACCCAAGTTTAATTGAATGGTGTGACTTATTGAAGTATTTTAAAGACTTAGGATCCCTTTGTTTTAAATAGTTTGTAAAAATATATGTTAAGGATTTGTTTAGATTAATTTTTTATAGGATAATCCTTTTGAGTTAGTCTTTAATTAATCATGGTTAGTGTAATGATTTAAGTCCTAATTTAGGGCACCTTTACAAAATTTATATTATATATAAACAATGAATTATATCAAAAATAAGAAATTGAGAAAAAAATCTAATATTTGATTGTATATATTTTCATGGTCTAGCTACTTTATATGGTGTGGATAGTTTTATAATTCACTTTAGATTTTGTAAATAGATTTAGGATCTACTTTATCTATAAAAATAATTTTAGGATCAACTTTATATTTTATATGAATAACTTTAAGATCTATTCTATTTTATGTATGGATAACTTCATGATTCGTTATACACTATGTGTGAACAATTTTAAGATTTACTTGTATATGGATAACTTTAGAATCATGCTTCTTATTTTTGGATGTAGCAAATAATACATTGTTATTTGATTAATTAAGAGAGAAATAAAATAATGAAACAAATAAAATAGATAAATAAATAATATATAAAATAAACAAGGGTGATGCGTATGAGATTTTCTCAATATTTAACAAACATATAATTAAGATTTCAATTATTATTAAAATACTTATATTTATATATGACATTTAATAAGGGTGTAATAGAAAATATATACAAATTTTTTTAATATTAAAGTTTTAACTAATTTCTTTTTTTGAAATATAAAGTAATTGCAAATGCCCTATAAAATCGGAGGGAGATAAAGTTTATTTTTCATCATTTGAGTTGCAGCTAGTATATATAATCAACGTTTATTTAAGTATTTAAAAAAACTAAATTGTATTTATATAATATTTAAATATTTATCGTAGTCTTCTATTCACTTAAGTATTTAAAAATTAAATTATATTTTTATAATATTTATATATTTGTCATAATATTCTATTTAAATTTTCAATTTACAAAGAAATATAAAAAAAATATTCTAAATATAAATTTTTTATATATTATTTATATTTTTAAAACTAATATATTAAATGTATAATTTTTATTTAAATATTTTTATTGATTTTATTTTTTTCATAATTATATGTAATTATTATATTATGATTTTTTATAAAATAAGATTATTATTTAAAAACAAAAAATATAACCAAACAAAATATTATTTTAATAAATTTGGCCCGCCTTCCAAATTGTTGCTGTTTCTATAAATTTCTATAAATATACCAATTAAATTAAATAAACTATGTAAGATAACAATAATCAAAAGATATTACAGAAATAAAAAGATATTGAGGGAACCTTCAAATAAAAGATATTACCATGACTTTTTAATTTTTAGATAAGTGATTTTATGATAGATATGAAGCACGTAATATTTAATATATCTTGGGATTTTTATTGTAATGCATGACAAAATTTATCAATAATAATTTTTATAATTTCTTCCATTATATATAAAATAAAAACAAAATCTAATGATATCAATTTTTTAAGACCAATTGTAACATTATTTTATTGAAAATAAGTAGATTCTATAACAATTACTTTCTCCGTTCAAAAATATAAGGTATTTTTAACTAAATCTTACCTCAATAAAATAGTTATATACTTTCAAACTAACTTTATCTTTTCATATTTATCCCTATTAAACACTCTATAATAAATATAAAGTCACTACCAATAGGACACTTTTGAAAAAAAACAATAATTACACTTTAAAAGATTAAAAATGTCTTACATTTTTTAACATTTAACTCCTCAAAAAATACCTTACATTTTTTAATAGAGGAAATATATATTTAAGTTACTAAAACAATTGAATTATACATATATAAAAGACTATTATAGAATTAAAATAAAAATTTAATTTCTCAATATTTCTATAATGTGCCAACTTAAGAGAATCAACAATATATAACTTTTATATTTTACCAAAAAAATAAAAAGTTAGGAGGACATTTGGTGAAGGACGATGATCTAATTTCCAATATTATCTAAATCACCCTCAAATCTTACGTTGGCCAAGAAGGGCATCCTCTTCTAGGGTTTGAAGTTTTTTACCTCTGCTGTCCAACTAAGTTGGAAGGTATTTTCTCATGTTTTTTTTAATGGTTTTTGAACTTTCATCCATGTTTTATTTTTTAAATTTCTATTAGATATGTGTATTGAAAAAAATCTATTTTTTATTTAAAATTACCCATATTTTTAATATCATGTATTTTCTCTTACACTTAATATTGGACAAACTTAATAAATTTTATGCTTATTAAAAAATAAAAGCTATATAATTTAAATTGTTAAAAAATGTAACATTTTAATTTTTTCTTTCTTTATAATTAATAATTATATTAAATTATTTTCATTGAATTTAAATCTTCTTAGTAAATAAGAGATAAAATTAGAAAACACAATAAGGAAGAATTTCTTTAAAATCCATAGAAACTAGTTAAATACTCTAAAATTTTATGAAATAGATATATTTAATAGGAACAAAATTAAAAAATTATTAAACTTATAGATAAAATAATAAATTTTAAAGTTTTTCTTTATTCCTGTAAAATGACTTATAAAAAAGAGTGTATAAGAAGTTTGAGATTTTAGAAATATTTATATATTTCATGAGACTTTAGAATATTTCGCTAGTTTTTAGAAGTCTCCCCAAAAATAATTAATTACTTTAAGCCTTATATTACATACCAATTTTTTTCTTCAAAAATTGCATTATATTAATACAAACAAATTTGATATGCTTTGAAACAGCTGAAATAAAGTTATAAACAATTTTTTTATTGAGAAAACAATGAAACTGATACTTATTAATGAAATTATAAAAAAAATTAATATAATGTATGAATATTTATTTTAATGCATTTAATTGTATTATACTCCCTCCACTAAAAAATGTAAGACATTTTTAATTAAATCTCACTTCTCAATAAAATAGTTACCTACTTTCCATTTAATCCTACTTTTCATATTTACCCCTCTTAAATACTCTATAATAAATATAAAGTTATTATTAATAAAGATATTTTTTTAAAAAAAGATAATTATTATACTTTTAAAGATTAAAAATATTTTATATTTTTAAATATTTAAGTTTTTAAAAATATATAATATTTTTAAATGGAAGGAGTATTATTTTACACGCTTGCCATGATCCTTTATGCCTTTTTTGGTTCAGCGTGAAACACAGATGACGTTGGGTATGGGTTTCGGTGTGCCATCTCTCCCTCTCCCTTCAATTGTATTATGCATTGGTTGGTTACTTTATAGTGTGACTTCTTTTTATATATATATATATATATATATATATATATAGTTATTTATAATAATTTTTAAATTATGATATAGTAAATAAAAATTAAAGGTTATAAATGCTTTATAATAAGGCAGGTGAAAATGGAATCAGCATTAAAAAATATTCTTTGCCAATCACAATATCAAAAATATCTTTTAATTTTTTTTAATTTAAAATGTAAGGCATTGATTAATTTTTATAATTATATAAATAAGTATGATTTTAAATTTGTAAGTAATTTTATTTTCTTATTTCCTTTGCATTTTATCCATATTAACAATTTTAATCTTCTGCTCATTTACAAAAATTAAATTCATTAAAATATTCTCTCCCCTATATTCGTTATATCCCTCCCAGTCGATCGCATCTCTGACCCCTTCGTTTCAGTCTTCATTCATCATTCTTCAATTGGCCACGTTCACGAGAGCTCTAGGCACCTCGGCACCTCCGTCATCGGCTTGCTCCCAGAACTCTGCAGAGATTGTTGGACTCCGCTCCTCAGCACCTCGATCGACTCTTTCTCTCCCCAGGTTGAGTTCTCCTTCTCCATCGTCGTCTCTCTCTCTCTCTCCCCCCCAAGGTTGAGTTCTCCCTTCTCTATCGTCGTCTTTCGCTCTCTCCCTCCCAAGGTCGAGCTCGGTGTTCTCTATCGATGTCTTTCTCTCCCCTCCCCCCAAAAGTTCCCCTGTTCTATCCGTGCTCGTCTCTTACAGTGTCACCCTTTTCTCCCAAGATTCGTCTTTCTAATTGCCTATTTGCTTCATTTAATCTGCATTCTTGCCTTGACTTGCCTTCACTTACACAAATGTCTGCTTGTACAGAGTCCATTCTTCCATCTTTGTGGTTGATTCTGATTATTTCTCATTTAGTTATTTGAATTTTTATTTGTTTAAATTTAAATTTTTAGTGATTATTTATAATTTCTGGTCATCACAATTTATGGATTATCGGATTTAGTAAGTGTTATTATCTGTAAGTGAGAGTTTTAATTTATGATGTTGGATTGTTATATTATGGATTTGGTTGTTACATTATGGATTTGATATTGATATTTTTAATTTTTTAATTTTAAATAACATTTTTATGCTTATATGGTAATTTAATTATTAGTTTTTAAATCTATATTGTTTAAAATATACTAATTTATTGTTAATTGGTTTGATCCTAATTCCACTACTAAACTGTGAACTACAATCACCAATTTGATGATCAGTTCAATTTTTAAAACTTTAATAATAGGATCATTTAAATTTTAATAGACATCAAGTTCAAAAGCCACATGGCTTTTTTTCGTTCAACCTAAAACATGTGCTACATTAGTCTGATTTCTTTTATATATATATATATACACATATATTATAATAACTTTGAAATTATGATATAGTAAATAAAAATACAAGATTATAAATGTTTTATAATAAGGTAGATGAATATGGAATCAATACTAAAATATATTTTTTTCCCAATCACAATATCAAAATATCTTTTAAAAACCTTTCTTGATTTGAAATGGAAGGCCTTGAGTAATTTTTATCATTATATAGATAAATATGGTTTCAAATTTGTAAGTAATTTTATTTACTTATTTCCTTTGCATTTTATCTATATTAACAATTTTAATCTTCTGCTCATTTTAAAAAATTGAATTCATTAAAATATTCTCTCCTCTCCATTAATTAGTTATTCACTATATTAAACAAAATCTAGTTGATATTTTAATTTTGATATCTATAGTCATGCCTATACGCAGACGCATGCATACACATGTATTCACATCCCATAAAAGGGAATGGTACTATCATTGTCGGCCTTGATCCTGAATTTTGACTTCAATTTGCAGCTGATTTCAACTTTGCAAGATGTTGGGAAAGAACTCAATTCATAAGATGAGCTCCTCCTCCTTTAAGAAGAGGTCTGATAAGAAGAAGATGGCAATGAGGCTGTTGATCACAGTTAACGTCCATGGAAGTGCATTGCCTTTGAGGTTTTTGGTCAATGATGATGATCTGGTTTCTGAGGTCATTCAAACCACGCTCGAATCTTGTGCTGGTCGAGAGAGGCATCCTCTTCTAAAATTTGATGCTAAGGATTTTTATCTCTACTGTCCAGCCACGCTGGAAGGTAATTCGTTTAATTTTTTTTTTTAGCTTTATGCTTTTATCCATGTTTTATTTTTTTTAAATTTTTTTTATTAGATATGTGAATTGATACAATCCGTTTTTGTTAATTTAAAAGTTTTTTTTAAATTTTTTTGATATCTTTTGAAACAGCCTGAAATAAAATTATAATTAAACAAACTTTTTTATACAAAACCCAATAAACAAATTAAATACCTGCATGAATATTTATTTTAATGCATTTAATTGTATTACATTACGTTATACGCATCCTATGCTCCTTTATGCCTTTTTGATTAATCATGATGTTTACGTTTAAACATATGATGATGATGATGTTCTTGAGCGTGTTTTTGTAGATTTAAGTCCAACGGAAACCATAGGATCTTGTGGAGAAAGAGAATTCGTGCTGATAAACAAGAACCTAAATGTTGCTGAGAAAGATGATGACACTCAAAAGCATAAGTTCTTTAAGGGGAAGAAGAAGGTGACAAAGAATTTAATCTTGGTTACAGTGAATGTCCATGGAAGTGCAGGGCCTTTAAGATTCTTGGTGAAGGACGATGATCTGGTTTCTAATGTCATCCAAACCACTCTCAAATTTTATGCTCGTCAAAAAAGACGTCCTGTTCTAGGGTTTGATGATCGGGATTTTTACCTTTACTGTCCTACTAAGTTGAAAGGTATTCGTTCAAGTTTTTTTTTTTTAGTTTATGTTTTTTGAATTTTCATCCATGTATTGTTTTTTTATTTTCTGATAGATATGCATATTGATAGAATCTAGTTTTTTATTTTAAATTGCCTATATTTTTTTTATCATGTATTCCCTTAATAAATTTTATGCTTATTAAAAAATTTGATAGTTATATAATTAAAATTAAAATTGTTAAAAAATATGTAACTACATAAGTTTGAACATATAATTACCAAATTACCCCACAAAGTGACTTTTAAATAAAAATATATGAAGGGGTTGAGATTTTAGTGATATTTATATATTTCATGAGACTTCAAAATATTTAGCTAGTTTTTACAAGTCTCCCAAAAAATAATTACTTACTTTAAGTCTTATATTAAAGTCCAATTTTTTTCCTTCAAAATTTTCATTATATTAATATAAACAAATTTGATATGTATTATGAATTATAAACAACTTCTTTTATAGAAAAAACGATGAAACTGATATCTATTATGAATTATGAACAAGTTAATACCATGTATGAATGTTTATTTTAATGCATTTAATTGTATCATATTATTTTACACGCTTGCTATGATCCTTTATGCCTTATTCATTAATCATGACTTTTAAGTTTAAGCATTTGATGAAGATGATAAGTGTGTTTTTGCAGGTTTGAATCCAACGGAAACCATCGGATCTTGTGGAGCAAGAGATTTCATAATGATAAAGAAGAACCTGGACGTTGCTGATAAAGATGATGATAACCATAAGCATAAGTTGTCCATGTGGAAATCATGCTTTGTCACTGAACCAAAATCTGTCCTCACGTAACTGGATTGTGCTCGCCAAGAAAGGTAAGTGATTTACTTTCTTTCCATTTTTGAATACAAGTAAAAGTTAATTACCTCATCTGTTCTCAAAAACTGTCAAATGGTAGTTAACTTCTTAAAATTACCCCAAATCACAATTATTTTCCTGAATTGCTCCCAACAAGTGTTTTAACTTATTTTCTTGTCTTTAGTCTCTCATTAATTAGTAAGGAGTATTGAAGGGAAAAAATCATTTAATGATCCAGACATTCTACATATGACTTAATTTGGGATAATGGAACTCTTCATTAACTTGTATTCAAGATGGGATGTATTCATTTTTAACCTTTCTTTTCATTTAGTGTTTTTCTTCTTAGGGTCATTTTTTCCTTTTGAAAAAGATTGTCCTTTTTTCGAATTGGTATTTCTAGAATATATTATAAGTCTTTTGTTTTAAACATATGCTCCATAAGTTATATATTAAGGTTTGAGTATTTGACTTATATGTATTCATTTTTAATATTTCTTTTCATTTAGTGTTTTTTTTTTGTTAGAGTCTTGTTTTCCCTTTAAAAAAGGTTTTTTGAGTAGGTATTTCTAAAATATATACATTCTGAGTTTTAGGCGTCTGGTTTGAAAGTTACATATAAAGATTTGAGTTCTTGACTTATACATATTTATTTTTAACCTTCTTTTCATTTAGTGCTTTCCTTGTTAGGGTTTTACTTTCCATTAAAATTTTTTTTTTGAATAGGTATTTCTAGAATATGGTATAGGATTTGCATTTTAGATACTTGCTCCATAAGTAACATATCAAGGTTTGAGACCCTGCAGGTTTGACTTATACACACACGTTTTTTTAAAACAAAAGACAGAAAATGGACTGCAAGTTCAATAATATACATTCAAAAAAGTATTAGCTTAATGGCCTTTTATCCTAATACAGCAAGAAGTGCAATTATACTTACGGGTAAAATAGTGCTGTGGCGTTTTATGAGGAAAAAAACATTATATAAGCGTTATATTTTGAACTGATGGATGGCCTGCTTGACTGAGTTTGAATAAGGCTTTGACATTTGATGCGAGTCTTATGATCCTTTATATATTATAGAACGTCAATAGAAAATCAAAGGTTACAGGGAGAAAGTAATTTGGGGCAGGCGGTGCTTAAATTTCCTGTTTCGCTTAAACTGTTTTGGGCAAAATCTTTTGGATTTTCATAGAGGAGACAATGTGGCGAAGCCAGCCGGAATTTGGTGCTGGACCATGTCACCGCTACGATTCTCGATTGGCCCTACGTGAGTAAGCCGGTTGGAGACTCACTCGGTCAAATTCATGAGAGACAATGTTGGAAGAAAATCTTCGTCGCAGCTGTGGGGCAGGTAGCTAGGCACCGCGAAATCTGTGCTGGACCATGTCACCCTTGCGATTCTCTCTAGGCCCTGCGTGAGTAAGCCTTTTGGAGTCTCACTCGGCCAAAGCTGGACCATCAAATGATTTTGTTTTTGTTTTAGTGTAATGGGAGACAATAGAGGAAGAAAGTCTTCATCGCAGCTGTGGGGCAGGTAGCTAGACACCGCAAACATTGTGCTGGACCATGTCACCTTTGCAATTCTCACTTGACCGTGCGTGAGTAAGCCTTTTGGAGTCTCACTCGGTCAAAAAAAAAAAAATTGAAGAGACAATATAGGAAGAAAATCTTCATCGCAGCTGTGGGGCAGGTAGCTTGGCACCGCAAAATCTGTGCTGGACCATGTCACCTTTGCGATTCTCGCCGGGCCCAACGTGAGTAAGCCTTTTGGAGTCTCACGCGGCCTTAAAGAAAACAAAAAAATGAGAGACAATATGGGAAGAAAATCTTCATCGCAGCTATGGGGCAGGTAGCACATGCATCCGTGCTGGACCATGTCTCCCTTGCGATTCTCTCCTGGCCCAAGGTGAGTAAGCCTTTTGGAATCTCATTTGGCCAACAAAACCGTGAGACAATATAGGAAGAAAGTCTTCATTGCAGCTGTGGGGCAGGTAGCTAGGCATCGTGAAATCTGTGTTGGACCATGTCACCCTTTGCGATTCTCTCTTGACCATGCGTGAGTAAGCCTTTTGGAGTCTCACTAGGTCAACACTACAACAAAATCAAATCTTTGTTTGTTTCAGTACAGAGAGAAAAAAAAAAAAAACGAGACAAAGGAAGAAAGTCTTCGTCATAGCTATGGGGCAGGACATCCTTGTCACCATTCCGGTACTCCATAGGTTGTTGTGAGTGAGCCTTTTGGATTCTCACTTTACCTTATTGAGGTAAAAAAAGGGGTTGCCCATAATAGTTTTTGCCACATTCAGGGACACCAATACAGCCATGTCGTTACCGTTACAAGTCCCTCTGGATGAGCTGAGTGAGCCTTTCGGATTCTCACCTCATCCATCATCAGTCCTTCTGTTGCGTTCAAGTATTCATTTATGTGATCACTAGAATACGCGCGAACTTTAAGGCTATTTTTGAATTGTATTTGAGTGTGGAAGTCCAACAGTTCACAGTTTCTTTTGGGTACGTCCAGCTGAATATGGTACCATGAGCTAGAGGCTGAATTTCCTTTTACTGTTATACTTTTATATTTTATATTACAGCATCGTTTTACCAATTGCGCTGGCTGTTCTTGTTGATCTCTTGAACTTGGCCTTAAGCTAATGCTTACGATATTTTATCCTTTTAAGTTTTTACACCATTTTAACACCTGCAAGGCCTCAAATGTTGATATGTAGTTTGCAGGTGACGATGACTTATTGGAGTCTTGCGTTAATGTTTTGCATTAGTAATTTTGTTTCTTTATCCTGTCGATTATAAGTTAGTTCAGCAGGTGTCCTGTTTGATATGTAGTTGCTTCATGAATGCCTATCTTTAAATTTGGGGGTTCTGATCTTTTAAAACTATTCTATTTTTAAGTGGTGAAAATGCCAAATCGCAATTTTATTTCAACTAAGATTATTTTACTAATAGCTAATTTTTGCTTTATTTATCACTTATACACTCCGCCTTCATCCAAATAAAACTCACGGTTTTTTCCTTCAAATTTTGGAGGTTCCCTGTGAGCTTTCACCAATCAAAAGGTGGGGGTTTTAAAAGTGTCGTTGCGTTTTGAAAATAAGTTCACACGAAAATTTTCTTGTTTATTTATCACTTAAAAACATCCACATCTTCTTCCAACTAAAACTCATGTTTTGTTGCTTCAAATTTTGGAGGTTCTGAGCTTTTTTTCCCTATCAGGTTGAGATTTAAAAAAGTTAATTATCATTGTGTTTTGAACAAATAATTTCACAAAACAATATTATACTCTCTTAATTTCAATTATTTATTTATTTATTTGAACCCCGCTATTCGGATGCATAGAGGCTAAGAAATCAAGTGTTAATGCATCCTAGGAACTTGAAGCTATTAGTAAAAGGCGGTGAGGAATTAGAGATGCCATAACGCAATAAGGATCATAGAGGTTTATGTATAAGATGGTTTTGAAGGTTTGTGTAATGTTTTAATGATGAACAAAATGGTCATATATAGAGGGAAATTAATCAGGTTGATAAATATTGATAGTCCATGGGTGTTTGAGGATAGTACAAGTTTAGTTTAGTTGCTAAACAGTAGTTAATTATGAGTATAGTTAGGACGGACCTATGTTGAAGCTTGCCACAAGCCAGGAAAATATTGCATAAAAAGACTCCAAAACTTTTATTTGCCCCCATTAGAAAATTTCATTTTGCTCCGTCATTTCAAAAAAAATTCACTTGCCCCCTTACAAAAATTCAATTGTCCCATATAAAAATTAATGATCTAAAAGACTAAAAAATTTATCCCTTTTAAAAATATTTTATTATAATTTTATATTTTATGCATTCCTTTTAGCATTTAATTTTATTGTTATATCTTTAATACAAATTAGTAAATATTTAAAATTATTTTTATAAAAAATATTATTATTTATTTTAAATATAAATTATGCTTCCACTAGTTCATTTTTTGGGTCCATCACTAATAGTTGATAAAATATTGATAGATCATGGATGATTAAGGACAGCAGAAACCAAGTAGTTGGACAGTGTCAGTGGTGGGCTACATTAATGAATGGTGAAAGTTTGAGGATAGTTGAAGTTTCGTGGCTGAACAGTTGTTAATTACTGGGTATTTTTGATAAATATTGATAGTTCATTGATGATTAAGGATAGTAGAAGCCTTGTAGCTGAATAGTGGTAGAGTATATTTAGTAATGGTGGATTTTTGAGGATAGTTGAAGTTTAGCTGCTGAACAGTTGTTAATTAGTGAGTTATAGTTGATTAATATTGATAGTTCATGGATGATTAAGGATAGCAAAAGCCTAGTAGATGAACAGTGGTGTGGTATATTTAGGAATGGTGGATTTTTGAGGATAGTTGAAGTTTAGTGGCTGAACAGTTGTTAATTAGTGAGTATTATGGACAAATATTGATAATTGATGGATGATTAAGGATAGTAGAGGCCTAGTAGTTGAATAGTGATTGATTATGAGTTTATTTGATAGTTATAGTTGTTTATAGGATAGTTATAGTTGAATATTGGTGTGCTATTCTCAAACATACATTAGTTGTAGTTGTTTATAGGAGGGGTAGCACAGGGTGTAGAGATATTTTCCCTCATATTTTCTATGTTTTAGAGATTATATATGGTGATGAAAATTCTATTCCCTCAGGTCACACCTCGAATATTTGTGAAATTATATAGCCCCCCTGATTAATCTCAAGTCTGAAAAAACGTCTTAGGCAGGGGGGTTTTAAAAACCATCTAACTCATGTTTGCCTCAAAGATTGCTGTTACAGGAGGAATAGTCTGGTTCATTTGGAGATAAACGTTGATCAATGGCCAAGGCATGGTACTGAATGATTTTTAAGTAAAGGGAATTTTTGAAATAAACAATTATATGATATTGAATTATTAAAAATGCCTGCATCTTCTGTTTTTGTTGAGCATAATATCAAACACCTAAAAAATATAAATAAAATTCATCCAAATAATATT